AATTGCATCACGTTAGTTAGAGATACAACTTTACTCTTGTATTTATTGGGAGATTAAATATGGTTAAGGAGATGTGTATGGGTGCCAAGATGACAAAGACTAGATTATGATGGTCAGTTTTATGTGTCAACTTGGATACACCTACCATCCCAGCAAATACTCATTTACATGTTGCTGTGAAAGTATTTTGCAGCTGGGATTTGTGAATCCTAGATTTGGGAAAGTCAGGTTGGGGGCTGATTCAGTCAGCAGAAGGGCATAGCTGTGGCTTCCCAGAAGACATACTGCTGCTGCGGACAGCGGCATTAGCTACTGCTCCAGAGATGCGCTGCCCTTCCTAAGGGCCTGCCCTCGGTGCTGACACTCCAGGGAGAAGGGGATGACCTTCCCGGGTATACACAGCCATGTACACACATACGGCTGGCCATTTCCCTGGACTCCAGTGCTGGGACTTAGGCTCTTGGTGAATGACAGGTCTCCACAGTCTCGGGGTTTCCTTACAGATGTAGGGTCTGCATAGAAGGCCTCTGGGCAGTGACATGGGAACCAGGGCACAGAAGGTGTTAGGTGGGGCAGTCCTGCAACCAGGCTGAGTCACTTGAGCTTTTTACACCCCAAAAGCTGGGCATGGGCTGGTAACTCCGCCCTGCACTTGCCCAGGCCTGAAGGCCATGGCTGAGCTCCCTGAAGGGTGCTCTCGGGGAAGTGGGGAGCCTGGTGGGGCACTCCCTCCCCAAAGCCCCCTCCCCAAGGCCTGCTTCCCGGAGCTGGGGCCCAGGCGCCTGGGTTCTTCCCCAGGGCTGATGATTCACCCGTGCTGGGGCCTGGGCCTTTTCACTTCTCCTTTGGGGCTAAAAATACAAGGACCCAGGCATCCAGCTGAGCCAGGCTTTACTATGGATTGCACAATGCCTCTGGTTTGAGTGCTGCTGACGCAGGCCCCGGGTTCGGGTGGGGGTGTGAGCTGCTCCCAGACCAGGCATGTTGAGGTCAGGGCCTAGACCCCATCCACTTCCCCTTTCCTGGGCCAAGGACCCTGGGGGCTGAGCTGACATGGGAGGTGTTGGGGATCCCTGGGCTTGGCTGTGGCCCCTGGAAATAAAGCTCTTTCCTTTAGTTCCAAGTAACCCAGGGGTTCTGGTTCCTAGAATCTGGCCCCCTTTATAGACAAATTTCCAGTTAGGAGTTGGGGGCAGAAGACACCAAAGGAGGACTAGGAGAGAGTGTCAGAGACAGGGAGACACAAGACAGACAGAGAGAGACAGGGACAAAAAAGCGACCAAGGGAGAGATGAAAGATGCATGCAGTAGAGACATGTACAGCAACAGCTAGAAAGAGGAGCAGACACTACTCCCAACATGGCCACTATCAAGGAAGGACTGAAGTAGAGGGGTGCAGTCAGCGCTCCACACCCAGGCCAGATGCGGGGAGAGCCCCTGGAAGAAGTCATCAACAGGCACAGTCCAAAGGCCATCCTGCTGGGGAGGAGGGCAGGTAGCCTGTGCAGCCCAGGCCACACCCTGCACTCCCTGCTGCCCCCTGCTGGCTCCAGCTGCAGTGCTCAGGCAGGAAGAAAAGTCAGAGACAAGGCAGCTTTGAGACTTTTCATTCCCTCCCAGTCCCCTCTGTCCACAGCCTGCAGGTCCCAGCGCTGCTGGCTCAGGCTCACAGGGTACTCCCAGGGCCGGTAGGCGGTGCAGGCGTCTTGCCTGTGACCTTGTTCGCACAGTCTAGCAGGGCAGTGTGAATGTCCTTGGCACAGGCTATCTGGGCTTTGATGACGGCCAGGTACTGCGGGTAGGGCAGGCTGTCAGGCTGCACGGCATCTGGCTTGGTGGCTGTGGGCACCAGCGTTGGAGAGTGCTTGGCACTGTCACAGCTTTGTGACAGGCACTCGTGTGCCAGGCGCTGTGGACAGGCAGGCAGGCAAGGTACAGCATCAGTCTCACACTGGGCACTCCCAACCCCACCCCGGGGCCAGCCTGGAGTAGCTTGCTTGGCCTCTGGACTCTCAAGGGTATTGGGGTCAGAGCCTGGCCCTGCCAGTCACTTGCTGGGTGACCTCACATGAGCTGCTCCTCTCTGAGCCTGTTTCCTCCTTTGGAAAATGGGTTTAATAACTACCTCTGTTATCTCATAAGGTGAGAACAGTGTGGGAGACACAGCACAGGTCCCAGCACATCACTTAAGTGCTAACTAATGAATGTGACCTACTATTGCGACCGTCCTAACCCCATGCTTGGCTGTGGCAGTGGCTTCTCTGGCACCTGCTCCTGGTTTTCCTATTTTTTTTGGATGCTCCTTCTAGATACTTCTTGCTCTACCCATGCCTTAAATGTGCCAATTCCCAGGTCCAGACTCTGCCTCTCATTCTCATGCCCCATCAGGCTCTCACCCACACACACCACTCAGTTTCCACCTGTGCACTGTGACACCACATCTGTGTCCCCTGCCACCCTTGAAATTCCAGAGCTCTCAAACCTTCCCCACTGAACTGCTCTTCTTCCTGCATCCCTGTCTCAGGGATGGCCCTTCCGTTCCCAGTAGAGTCCTGAGCTTCATCCTGGAGATTCCCCCTCAGACAGCCCCAGGGCCTATACACAGAAAGCCTTCTGAGTATTTCTTCCATCTGCCATTTTCCACTTCCTCAGGACCCTGCCCTGGTCGAGCCTAGCCCACTGAATCCTGCCATGGCTTCCAGCCCCCAGTCTCAACCCCTCTGACCTATCTATCCCTCATTTAGTAGCCAGAGGCCTATTTCTAACAAAAGAAATGGGTCTACTTTCTTCCCTGCTTGAATCTCCCAAGGCTTCCCAGTGCTCCCAGAGCTATATTCAAAATTCAACACGCCCCAGTGTCTACTACCCCTTGGCCAAACTAAATTTCATGGCATTCTTAAAAGGAACTTAATGCAGAAGCTGTTCCTTCTAGTGGGAACACCCTTCTACCACAACAAGATTTCTCAAATTCTGACTTTTCTTCCAAAACCCAATTCAAAATACTGAGGAAAACAATACAGACAACACTTGCCATGAACCTTGTACCATGTTAAGTATGTGCATGATCTTGCTGTTTTTCCCAAAAACGCTTTTCCAAAGGAGGAACCCAAAGCTCAGAGGTAGAGGTGGTCCATCTGATTTGAGAGTCCATGCTCTTAGCCACTCACCCAACTGGCAACTCCTTCTCCTCTTCCATTTTTGTTCCATCCTTGGCTTAGTTGTGCGGTTTCCACAGTAGCCTTCCCTGAGCCCCTCCTCTCTCCCTACCCCACCCTAGGGCCAGATGGCTTCTCTGGGCCTCCACAATCCCCTAAACTTCCCTCATTTTAATCCTAACCCCTCTGCCTATGCTTTCCCCTTTCACAGCCCTGACCACTTTTAAGCTGTCCCTATTTGGGGATGTATGTCGCCCCACTGAACTGGAAGCTCTGTGAGGGCAACACTGTGTTCCCAGCATCACTTGAAGCACAGGTCTGGCCTGCAGGAGGTGCCAAGTGAGTGTGTGTCAATTGACTTGAGTGAGGGCTCCTGAAGGCCTGGGCACTGGGGCAGGGTTGGGGTCACCCAATGGCTAGGAGGCCCCTTACCAGGCAAAGTTCCAGCTGGTCACAGAGTGCATAAAACTCCTCCAGACACTTGTCAAAGCGCTGTATGGGTCCATCGCTGCTCTTTCTGCAGCCCAAAAAAAGGGAAGGTGACTGGACATGAATTTCCAATCCCTAGAACATAGTGTCTACCTAACCAAGAATCCATTAGGAAACCGGGTATAGGCCCAGAAGTCTCCAGATGGGGCCTATAAGACTTTTCCTAATAGGAGACACAAGAAGAGCAAGGCCAGGTGTTAGGGAGCTGGGCTTGAAAATAGGAGGAAAGGGAGGTGGGTGGCTAGGGTTCAGGGGATGAGTTTCTAAGATTTGGGTGAAGACAGGAGACCATCCCAGGGAAAAACGACTACACTCACTGTCCGTTGTCAATGTTAGTGTTTTGAATCAAGTTCTGGGCTGCAACCTTCATCAAGGTCTAGTTAAAAAAAAAAAAAGCATTAGTTGGAGAAACGTTAGATGGACACTGTTGGTAGGTCTACACTTTTCCTTAAGATTCATCCAGTCTCAGGCCTCCTCTTCTATTGGCGTCTATCCTCCCGTTACTCCCCAACTCCCGCTTCCAAACCTGTGTATCAATAACCTGAAAGTATTTTTCCAGAGGCCCACTCTCACCTGGGTCCTTGCCAGTAACCTCCAGGGCATAGCTTACGGTCCTTCCTCACCCACCAATCACGGTCAAAAACGCTATACAAGCAAAGTCCTTCCTTCAAGCCTTAACCACCAAAGCCTGGCATCTTCTTTAAACTCCCTCCCACTCGAGTTCTGACCATTCCCGGGCTCAACTTCCGCACCGATCCCACCTCAGACTGTCAATCCGCGGAGCGCTTGGCCTCCACAGGACCAGTCTCACTCCTCTCTCCCGCTTAACGCTCCGGTTGCTCTCTCCCTGTTCAAACAGCCCCTCCGTCTGAGCCCCTGGAATGGGAGAGCCAAACCCTGCGGGCTTTCTCGCAGCTCCTGGCCTCACCTGTAGACTCTCCTTCAGCTGCGGGATGAGCATCTTGTAGCGCTGCACGGGGTCGAAGTCCTGCTGCTGCTGCTGCAAGAGCCCGCTCTGCGCGGGGCCCACCAGCTGTGCCGGGGCTTGCGGCTGCTGCGGGGGACCAGGCCCACCAGCCGAAACGGCGACCGACACGCCAGCTGCAGAGGAGGCCGTCGACGCCTGCTGCTGAGACGCGGACATTTTCCTCGCTCAGCGCGCCAGATGTGCGTCACATGAGCGTCTTCTTCTCTAGGCCCTATTTGCTAATTAGCCCCGCCTTCCCAACAGTTCGACCAATGGGAGGAAAGACTCCCAACAGTTGACTCTCAAATTCTCCTCCCCAACAGTTCAACCAATGGGAGGAAAGAGTCCCAACACTTGACTCTCAAATCCGACTTGCAGGCTGATACGGAACCACCAATCACAAGTGGAGTTTCCACTCCCGTCCCGCCCCTTATCCAGCCGCTCGCCAGTCCGGGAGCGGATCCAATCCGGACTCTATTTCCCAGAAGGCCTCGGGGCCTCTGAAGCGACCTGTCTGGTCCTCAGCGTCTTGGCGGCCGGTGGTGGAGCAAGAGCTGCGAGTCCGTCCGTGGCGCTGCCTGCGCGTTTACCTGAGTCTCCGCTGGAACTCCTCTCACCAGCGCACCTCATTCCGACCCTATCCCGGTGGAGAGCGGCGCCAACCCGAGCCTTGCCTCTGATTAGGCGTCCGCCAAAGCCGGCACGCCCCTTCACATCTCGCGACTCGGCAACGAGCCGTTAGGGCTGCCGTCGCCCCGTCGCCATGGCGCCCACCATTCAGACCCAGGCCCAGCGGGAGGATGGCCACAGGTAGGCGCCACGCAGCGTGGCTGTACTACTCTCTCCTACGTCTGTCCAGGTTTTGGCGAGGTGGGGAGTTGGGCGCGGGTGTCTGCCTGCAACGTCTCCAGTCCCCCAGCCCTGCTTCTGACGCCAAACCTCGCCCCAAATGCCGTGGCGTCACGGAGCTCTCGCCTTTCACGAAGTCGGGCTGGTTCTTCACAGGGACCCGATGTTGTCCGTTCTCCCTTGCCGTGGAGTTTAGGGATTAAGCTCTTGGAGACTTTACCCAGAAAGTATATTGAGCTTATTCCTCCAAGCATTTGGAGACCCCTTTTCCCCAAAACAATCAAGTGGTTCTTTAAGCACTCGAGAAGACATCCCCTACAAAAAGGAATGAGCACTTGGCTTCATTCGTTAAAACATTTAGGAACACTTTCTTTAAAAGGAATTGGAATACTTCACTTTCTCCATTAAAGCACTTGGAGCACCCCTACCCAAAGGGATTAGCATTTGTCACCCCCTCCCCCTCCGTCCTTTAAAAGCTTGAAAAAGCTCTCTTCACTCTCCTGTCATCCTCTCCATCTTTCCTTTTTTTTTTCTCTCCATCTTTCTATCATTGTTTCTCTCTTACCCACCAGGCCCAATTCCCACCGGACTCTACCTGAGAGGTGAGCCCCACTATTTTTCCAGGATGGGTGGGCGAGTCGGGGCTGGCAGCAGGGGCCCGGTTTTGAGCTACTGTGTTCCCAGGTCTGGAGTGGTCTGCCGAGTCAAGTACTGCAATAGCCTTCCTGACATCCCTTTTGACCCCAAGTTCATCACCTATCCCTTCGACCAGAACAGGTGAGACAGATGGGGAATGGGAAAACAATTCACTTAAGAATGAGTTTCTTGAGGACAAGGACCACTTCTCGTTGACTCCTCTCTTCTCAGGGGCCTAGAACAGTACCTAGCACATAACAGTAGGTGCTCCATAAATATCTGTTAGTGAATGAAGCAGTGTCTGAGTCTCTTCCCACTGGAGGAGAGCCAGCCTTGTTTCCAATATGGGGGACACTCCGAGTTCCTCTCTAGAGAAGCTTAGCCTCTGGGAAGCAGGGATGTGAGTGATAAAGCTAGAATCAGGAAACCATAATGGGCATGTTTTCACACCCAGGTTCGTCCAGTACAAGGCAACTTCCTTGGAAAAACAGCACAAACATGACCTCCTGACTGAGCCAGACCTGGGGGTCACCATCGACCTCATCAACCCTGACACCTACCGCATCGATCCCAATGGTGTGTGGGGGGCAGCAGGGAGGGCCAGCTGTAGGCCAGCAAAGGCCAGGCCTGGGCCTCCCTCATGGTCCTCCTGCCCTCTTGCTCTCCTCCAGTACTCCTAGATCCAGCTGATGAGAAGCTTTTGGAAGAAGAGATTCAAGCTCCCACCAGCTCCAAGAGGTGAGGGGGTGCTGAGTGGGGACTAGCTCTGATGGGAGGAGGGTGTTGGGGTCCTAAGGTGCCTGATCCTCTACCTCAGATCCCAGCAGCATGCAAAGGTGGTGCCGTGGATGAGGAAGACAGAGTACATCTCCACTGAGTTCAACCGTTATGGCATCTCCAATGAGAAGCCTGAGGTCAAGTAAGTTGTGGATAGGAGGGCAGGTAGAGGTCTCAGGTGTATTCAATGGCCCCTAAAGCCCTTTCTCTCCACTCCTAGGATTGGGGTTTCTGTGAAACAGCAGTTTACAGAGGAAGAAATATACAAAGACAGGGATAGCCAGATCACAGCCATTGAGAAGACTTTTGAGGATGCGCAAAAATCGGTAATTGAAGGACTGGGATAGAGGGAAGCAGCCAACAGTGTGGCTCCAGAGCTTTTCCTCCTCCTCACCCCATTTTTGCCCCGGCCAGATCTCTCAGCATTACAGCAAGCCCCGAGTGACACCTGTGGAGGTCATGCCTGTCTTCCCAGACTTTAAGGTCAGATGCAGGGCAGAGGCAGAGGGGATAGCCTGCCATCTCTGCCCTTCCCAATCTAACCCCAGTGCCCTCCATCCCCCAGATGTGGATCAACCCATGTGCTCAGGTAATCTTTGACTCAGACCCTGCCCCCAAGGACACAAGTGGTGCAGCTGCATTGGAGATGATGTCTCAGGCCATGATCAGGTAACTGGCCCTGTTGCCCACCCTGGCCTGCTCAATACGACGTTGTCCTTGCTCTTCACTGTTCGTCTTCTTCCCCCAACCAGAGGTATGATGGATGAGGAAGGGAACCAGTTTGTGGCCTACTTCCTGCCTGTGGAAGAGACATTAAAGAAACGAAAACGGGACCAGGAGGAGGAGATGGACTATGCTCCAGATGATGTGTGCGTGGGTTGGGATTAGGTTTTAGATTGAGAAGTCCCTCCTTTTCTTACTTATAGGAAAGAAACTGGGCTGACCCTGTTCTTCTCCTTAGGTATGACTATAAGATTGCTCGGGAGTACAACTGGAATGTGAAGAACAAGGCTAGCAAGGGCTATGAGGAAAACTACTTCTTCATCTTCCGAGAGGGTGATGGGGTTTACTACAATGAACTGGAGACCAGGTACCCAGCACATTCCTACCTCAGATTAGCCTGGGCCTGTGCTTTAGAAGCAAGATCCTGGGGTATATGAGAACCATCTTGGAAGTCAACTGTATGTAAGGATTTGTTACGTACATTTGGGAGCAAAAACAGCAGTAACCTGCTCACACACATGGGGTGGACCTGGTTCTAACATGAGAACCCAGGAAGAATCTTTATATAACACTTTGGAGCTGTTTAGAGCATTTGTGTAGGTCAGACAGCCAAGTTTCCCCTCATACTAAGAAGAGACTTCATAAGACAGAAAACATAGCCATAGCCAAAGCATGGAGTAATGCATAAAATTAAATGAAACACTGTATACCTAAGTTCACAAATGTGACCCCCAAAACTTTCCCCTACTGGCAAAAAGTTTACTCCTTTGCCAGAGTACTTGGTTAAGGGTTGCGAAAGTGTGACCTTGAATTTCTATTTAAAGCAGACAGCACAAATTCTGGTCCCCTAAGCCAGGCAGGAAATGTAAAGACACAGTGGGCTGGTGGGGTCTGGGTGACATAGAGCTCTTGGCAACCTCCAAGGGGCACTGCAACCTAGCCTGCAAATGACTATAGATTCATACTTTGCAAAAGCCAGAAATCTAGATTAAGTGTTAGCAACTAATTCATATTAAAATCTATTTATATATGTGTCTGTAGATGCATGTGTATGTATATGTACACACATTTTATAAAGTGCAGGACAACCAACCTGGTATCTTGGAGCTATCATCCTTCTCCTCTCCTGCCTCCAACACCTGAGTTTAGTTTTCTCTATTCAATCTGTATTTATTCTGGTCTCTTCTGAACCAAGTATTGGTGAGGAAGAACCAAGAGAGACCAGCTCTCCCCCTGGGCATCTTTAACCACACCTTCCATACCCCTCCCCTGCCACTTGCCCACTACAGGGTCCGCCTGAGTAAGCGCCGGGCCAAGGCTGGGGTTCAGTCGGGTACCAATGCTCTGCTTGTGGTTAAACACCGGGATATGAATGAGAAGGAATTAGAAGCCCAGGTAACAAACATGACTGGCCCAGGGCAGCCATGGGGAGGGTGGTGGTGGGTAAAGAGGGACAGCGGCCCAGTAGAACTACACCCTCCTTACCCTCAACTTTGCTGGTTCCAGGAGGCACGTAAGGCCCAGCTGGAGAACCACGAACCCGAGGAGGAAGAGGAAGAGGAGATGGAGACAGAAGAGAAAGAAGCTGGGGGCTCAGGTAAAGGTGGACAAGTCAAGCCCTGGAAGCCCTGGGAGGATGGGAAACTGGGTCTCACTTCTCCCCATTCCCTTACAGATGAGGAACGAGAGAAGGGCAGCAGCAGTGAGAAGGAAGGCAGTGAGGACGAGCGCTCAGGCAGTGAGAGTGAACGAGAAGAGGCTGACAGGGAAGAGGCAAGCGACAAGAGCGGCAGTGGCGAGGACGAGAGCAGTGAGGATGAGGCCCGGGCAGCCAGGGACAAAGAGGAGATCTTCGGCAGTGATGCAGATTCGGAGGACGATGCTGACTCTGATGAGGAGGACAGAGGCCGGGCCCGTGTCAGTGACAATGACTCAGACAGTGGCAGTGAAGGAGGTGGCCAGAGGAGCCGCAGCCAGAGCCGGAGCCGTAGTGCCAGTCCCTTCCCCAGTGGCAGTGAGCACTCAGCCCAAGAGGATGGCAGTGAAGCCGCAGCTTCTGATTCCAGTGAAGCCGACAGCGACAGTGACTGAGGTCCAAGGCCTTTGGGCTGGTGCAGCCAGGATTGGTATGCACAGGAAGGCACTTTTTGAGTGGTCTATTTGTGAGCCCTTTGATTTGTTTGTTTCCCTTCCCTCCTCCAAACCTTTGCTGTTAATAAAGCCAACTTCTCTTTACTTCCCTGCTAGGCCCTGTGGTCTTATTCTGCCAAAACCTCCCTTCTCCCAACCCAACACCTACCCCAAGTGCTCAGTGGCCCCAGCTTAAGGCCAGAGACACAGCTACTAGGTTTTCCATGAAATATAGCATAACAAAGGTCAGAATCCTTTTTGGTTTTTTTTTTTCTTTTTCTTTTTCTTTTTTTTCCAAAATAAGCCCAGACCATTAAACAAGTGAAACTCCAACAAATAAGTCTTCTCCAACAGCAAGAAAAACTGTACAGTTACTCAAAGCTGATTCTGCCAGTGGGGCTGTGGATAGAAAGGAGGGTGAAATCATGGCGAAGGGACCGGGAGCTGGGGAGAGGCTGGAGCAGGAGAGGGTTAGGGTCCTGCCCATCAGAGTGGGGCCGCCTGCGCCCTGCACACTGCTGTCAGGTGGGGGGAAGGGAGCGGCTCTTGCCTCCCCTTGTGTCTGGGTTGTCCCTCATCACCTCCCAGTGTCAGGCAGAGCCAGCTCACCCTGATGGGTAGTGAACAAGCTGGAACTGGCTGGGAGGAGGTGAGGATCCATCAAGAGGGACACCCTGCTGATTCCAAACAAGGTGGCCTCTGTCCATCCCACTTCCCAGTAGTGGGAGGGAGACTGGAGAAGCCCTGGGAGCTTGAGGGGAATGAGCAAAGGCACAGAAACATGAAGGGGCCGGGGTGGGGGACTTGCATAGGTTGATGAGTGTGCAAGAGGTACATAAATAAACCTGACACCCCACCCAGCCCGGCACTGGGAGAGGAGGTGGGGACCTGGAGCAGGTCCCCAGGGCCACCCCATCCCCTGGCTTCCTCCCCTTTTCTGCACTCAGAGTTGAGGGAGTCTAGACCAGGAGGGTAAGGGCAAGAAGGTCAGGAATGGGGTGAGAGTGCAGGGAGGGCGGTGGTCTTAAAATTTTTTTTGGTTTTTTTTTTCCCAACATTTTGTATCTTTAATAACATACACAATGGTTACCAGCCATATTCATAACAAAAGTTATTCATAAAATGTATCTAAAAATAACATTTTTTTTCCTTTTCGGTGTGAAAAGCTCGAGAATGTCCCAGTGTGGTGGTGGTGGTGTGTTGAGGGGAAGAGGGGGCTGGAATAGGGAACCCTGGCTCCCCCCCACACAACCTGAACCCCCAATTCCTTCCCTCCACTTGGGCCCCAGCACAACCCCTCAGTAGAAACAGAGACCAGAGGGTCTGTATCACTCTTGTGGTTGGGACGAATCTCGGTTATGATATAGTGTTCCACTTAAGTGAGGTCATGACAGAATTGGGAGGGCGGGGCAGGCGCTGCGGTAGGGGAAGGTTGAAAGAAAAGTGGGTGGGGGGAAGAAACCCAAAACCAAACAATCCCCTTTCCCTATTCCTTACCCCCAAGTCTTCTGGTGACTAGACCTGGGAGTGGAGGATGTGTGGGGGAAGGGGACGTTAAGGCAACAGACTTTCTGACCTCACAGGCTGCCCTGGCTCCCACCTTCAACCTCTGCATCTGCGGAGCCAGGGCTCGGGGGAGCTGGGGAGGGCTAGGGAGTCTGGAGGAGGGGGCTCTGCCCTCTCCCCTCATAAAATTCAGGCTCCCCCTACCACCTTCTTGGCTCAGAGGGAGGCCTGGGGATTCCAAAAATGAGAGGGAATGATGAGAAAGAAAAACCGTTAAGAACTATATAAATATGTATCTTAAATAGGCCTAAGAAATTAATTGTAGAGAACCTCTGATAAATGGGGAAAAGGAGGTGAGAGGAGGGTGACTCCTGTCCTCAGGGAATGATAGAAATAGGAAGGAAGATGGCGAGGAAAAAGAGCGGCTGCTCTCCTTACCCACCACCACCTTCTTCTCAGCTCCTCTCAAATAACATTCAGGAGAGCAGGTTATTTACCCTGCTTGTCTCTCCCCAAATGTCAGATGGTTCTGAGCAGGGCCCACAGATGGTGGGAAGGCTGCTCCCTTGGGAGGGGCAGGTGGCCAGCGGTGTGGCCAGGGAGAGATGGGGCCAGGTGGGGATGAGGGAGGGAAGGAGGGAGCAGGCAGGCTAGCCAGTCCCTGCTCCCTTTATCCTGGCTGCCTCTACCTCCCTGGGCCTCAGCAGAGATCCCTCCATGGGCCTGGGAGTGAGAAAGGCATGTGCCAATGTTAAACAAAAGTTAAAAGGGTGAGAGAGTAGAAAAATATTAGAATGTATAGCTGAGCCAGCCCACCCTCTCACTGTCGCGGAGAAGCCTGTTGGGGGTTGGCCCCCGCCCGCCGCCCAGGGAGCCTATGGGTGCGCTGGGCTGTGGGTCCCGTCAGATGGTGGAGGTTTTGTCTGTCCCATCTGTGGTAAGAAAGGAAGGGAGGAAGATCAGGAGCTGACGGAAGCCCAAGACAAGGTGCTTGGGTAGCTTGTCATCCCAGTCAGGCCCTCCCTGAAGTCCGGCCTCCCCTAAGGACCCCTCAAGGATGCTCTGAGTTGCTCAGTTCAGAGGTGCAGACGCTGCTGGGTAGGTGGGAGCTGGGTCAGGGAAAGAGGAAATGCTCACCACCCAAGGCGTGTTCTGTCATGCTCAAACACAGAGACTCCAGAGTGGGATTGATCTCCAGGTCAGGCCCAGGAACTGGGCAATCTGGTGGAGGAGAGAAGGACAGAGGTGGTGAGGACTAGACTGGGATGGAGAATACATAAGGAAGATAAAAAGACCAGATGGGCTGGCACAGGGAAGAGGCTGAAAGGGACGAGAGGGTAAGGGAGGGAAGGAGAGGCAAGAGACACACACATTGGGATGGAAAGTATGACCAAGTAGAGATGGACAGGCACAGGCCTGGGTGTGTCACAAAGCAGGTAGAAGCAACAATGGCGAGGGAAGAGGCTTGGCAACATGGAGAAAGCCTGACCTACAGACAGAGGAAGGGATATGAAGCTGAAGGAGCTTCCTGGAGACTGCACACAGGCTGTGACTATTCTGGATACATACTACACACTGCCTCAGGCACAATCTGGGCATCTGCCCCAGGCACTGGGCAGCTCCATGCTCCCTGATTGATGGCCCGCTCTGTACTTGGTGCAGAAGCTTAATGAGAACCCTTCCCGTCCCTACCTGGACTTGTTTCTGGGGAGGCCTGGCAGGTGGGGCAAATAAGGACAGTAGCCATGGGGCTTGTCCTCAAACTGCCTCTTAAAAGGGCCTCCTGTTCTGGTGTCTGGGATACAACCCGCCCATCTCCCTGGGCAGACCTGACACCACCCCACAGTGCTTAAAACCCTTCCCTGGTTCCTCACTGCAATCAGGAGAAAGTCTAAGCTTTTTACCTGGATTTAGCTCCTGTTTGCACCCCAAGCCTTACCTCTCATGATCTTCCCTCTTAACCCTGAGCTCAGGACATGTGAGACCACCTATGTGTCTGCTTAACAAAAGTTTCTTAGACCTCGAGGAAGTCACCTGAATGATTCATGATGGATAAGACAGGAATAACATCAGTGCCCTAATCAGTGCAGCTGGAAGACTGGATTTGACAGTGCAGGAAAGCTGTGGGACACACAGCCCAGCACAGAGCATGCTAGTAGAACGAACTCCTCCACCTTTTTTTCTCATGCAGTTCATCCATCCAGTCAGCTAACATCAATTATAGGTGCCTACCACGAGCCAAGACCTGTGCGAGAATGAACACAATGGACAGGGTCCCTGCCTTCAACAGATGGCAGTCCACATAATCTCATAAATTAAGAATCCCTACTGATTTGGCAGTTTATGACAGGAAGAGGTTAGGGTCACTTGCAAAGCTAAGACCTCTCCAAAGGCAGCCCCTTCCAGACCAGCCTTGACTGCCTCTGCAGCCTCAGTGCCCAGCAGCAGGCCCAGCACACCCTGCTCGCTGAGGAAGGCAGCACGAGAGCCTCACTAACCTTCCTTTGCCCACTTGGCCCTCATTCTCATCACCCTTCTCCAGGCTGGTCTGTAAGGACAGAGAAAACTGTCCTCTCATCTCAACCACCCTTTAGTGCAGAACCTGATCCAAGAGCTAAAGTCTACCGGTTCCTGCCTGGTTACCTGGCTTTTGAAAGAATGCCAGTGGACTGACAGATAGACTCCCCTCCACAGAAACCTCCATATTTTGACTATCTCATCTCCCTCACCCCTTCTGCACTGAGTATTTAATGATCCTCTAAAGAGACGATGACACAGACCAAGACGGACACTAAGAAGAGCCTGACATGGTGGGAGGGAGAGATGTGGAGATGCAGGGGTGGGAGTAAGGGATGAGAGAAGACAGAGCGGGCAAGCAAGAGGGATAGATAGGAAGAGAGAGGGGGAAGGCAGGGTGTGAGAGAGAAAACTGAAACAGGGCAGGGGGATGAGTAGAAGAAAACCGATGATGTGGAGAGATGGGTGCAAAGTGGCAGGAAGTACGGGGAGAGGTACTCAAGCAGCTAAGAAGGGATAGTGGTCATGAAACCCAGAAGGGAAAAGAAAGGGCAACTAAGGTGTTGTGGAGGCAGAGTCCCCAAGGGTGGGAGTGCCTTACCTGGAGGGAACATGAGAATGGCCTGGGGCGATGAGTGGACTGGGAGCGAATGGGTGCGCTGAACGGAGCTGCGGCTCTGACTGGGCATGCTGTTACTGCCTCCAGGGTTGGCGAACCACAAGTTCTGCAGAGGGCATGGGAAGAGAGAAAGCAGTGGGTTAGGAGGAAGAGGTCCAGGCCTTTGGAGCCTGCAAAGGAGCCTCTCCTGTCTAAGCTGGGCCCAGATGCAAAGATACGGACCTCCCCAGGCACCACCACCCCAACTCCCGATACTCCAGATGATCCAGGCCCTCTGCTTCCAGTCTGCTCACCTGTCGGCCCTGGCCCCCAAGGCTGGGGCTGGTGAGGGCATGTCGTTGGGAGATGCCCCCAATGCCTGAGGGGCTCAGAAGGCCCATCCTGCCAGGCGGGAGGGCCCGGGGAGGCATTGGGAACTGCCGCTGGGTCCGCCGGGCCATCCCCATCCCCACAGAGCCAGCTATGGGGAGTGAATTGGAGCCAAAAGCCCAGCTGTGAGAGAGAAGGCAGGTGTCAGTTTAGGTGGATGGGGCCCATCTGTCTACCCCTTCCTGACTGCTTAGCCCCAACCCCCACCTCCACACACACACAATCCCACGGGTAGGACAGAGTACAAACTTGCAGAGCAAGGATTCTAAGTTCTTGAATTATACATTCTATATCATCTTGCCACAAGGGCACTCTTAGGGTAGAGATGGGAAGTGTACAGATTTGTTGACATCCACTTATAGTGGTCCTCTTAACTTCAATTCTCAAGTTATTTCTGTATTTCTGTTTCTTGTTTGGGATGAGAGGGGACTTCAGAGCCCTCTGCTCACAGGTGAGGAGAACAAGGGACAGCCAAGGGGCCTGCTACCAGGATATGTGCTGGTTTTGTCAGCTCAGCATCCTGTTCTAGCAGTAAGAACACCCTGATTTTCTTCTGGGGAAGTCTTCACAGGGTGATTTAATAAGGTCATCTAATGATTCAGTGAGTAAAACTGGATTCCCAACCCAGAATACAATCACCCACTAAGCACTATCTGTCAACCAACAAGGGCCCAGGGAGGGGAGGTCCCTGAGGCCTGGCCGCCTACCTACCCTTTCTGCTGTCGGTAGTTCTGCATCTCTAGTGCGGCCTTGCGTGGGAAGGTCCGGAGGAGCTTCAGCACTTGCTGTTTCCAAGACAGCAGCCGCTTCTTCTGCGTCTCCGTGAAAGCCTAGAATTAGGAGAGTGAAGCAGGGTGTGTGTGTGCTTCTTTGAGATCTGCCTTCCATTCATTTGCTCAAATATTTAGCGACTGCCTGCTCTGGGCCAGGCAATGATGGGACATGGAGGTGACCTGTATGCATGGAGCTTAAAGTGTAGTCGGGGAGAAGATACATACGCAATGCTAACTGTGATGAGTGCGTGAGGGAGAAGCACAGGAGGCACGAGACCTGATCTGTTGCGGGGGCCAGTGAGGGTGCCCCTGAGGTATGACATTTGAACCGACTGATAGGCCAGCGGGAGGGAAGGGGACCTGTTTCCCAGAGCAAGAATATGCAGTAAGGCTCTGGGAAAGAGAGCTCAGGGCATCCACTGAACCCAGTGCTGGGGAGATGAGGGCTAGAGAGGTGTATGGGGTGAGCCAGGCGGGGCCTGCTGGCTGCCCAAGGAGTGTTGATCTTGAGAGCGATGAGGCAGTTCCTGGGGACCATGGAGAAGGCCTCACCTCATGAGTCAGGCACTTTTCGATGAGCTGGAGGTAACTGGTGATGTTCTCCTCGTCCGGTCGGGACACCAGCAGTTGGGTGCACACTGTTGGGCATGGGAAAGGGTGGGAGATGAGCTCAGCATGCCCTCTGCCACGCTCCAGCGGAGTAGCACAAAGGAAGGGACAGGAAACAGCCTGGATGAGCACCACCTGTGTGCCAAACAGGGAACCTAGCTTCTGATGATGGTAAAGCTCCCACAATAGTGCCTGGCATAAGGCAGATAGGTGGTTAGTGATACCTTTTCTCTTTTTAACTCTTGTAATAATTTCATCAGTGTGGGCATTTTTAGCCTGAGGACACTGAGGCTCAGAAAGTTTAAGTCACTTGCCTGAGGTCACACAGCTAAAAGGTTTTAGATCCAAGTGTAAAGTCTGCTATGCCATGCTGCCTTAGGGAAGGCTGAGCTCATTCTGTACCTCACCATACTCATCCATCCTATGGACTTTAGTCCCCTGAGGGAACCAGTGGATTTGCCTTATCTGTTCACCCTGTATGTACAGTTTCTAGTGACACACTATATTACCTTCTGCTCAGAGGGTAAGGGTTATCTCCTGCCATCAGCCTGGACACACCTGGGGCAGAGGCCCTGCCGCCCTTAGTCTCAGCCACTCCCTGTAGTGCTCTAGGTACCAGGGTACTTTAAAAAGCTCTCCTCCCACCATTTAACTTGGATTTGATCCCTGACGACTGGGTTCACTTGGCTCCCAGTCCCAGAACTTCCTACTGGGCCTTGGATGGTCTCACCTTTGCCCATCACCCGTGTAAACTGGCTGGGGATGTCTCCATCGGCAACAGGAGCCGGAGCTGGCTCACTGCCATCAGTGGGAGCCGGAGCTGGTGGAGGTGGGTAGCTCTCTGCAGCTGGAGAGTCCTTGGACTCAGTGCCCTTGTCTGTGCCGGAGTGAGCCAGGGGAGGCTCAGCACCTGGCAGTGGTGGCTCCCTCCGGCCCCCGTCCTTGGCAGCAGGGGCGGAGGCAGCAGCCACAGTGGCCTGGAGGACACAGTAGGCCTTGATGGGGGTAATGATGATCTGCTGCAGCTCCTGCAAAGCGTTCCTCAGATTCCCACCTTCCAGCACATCCTACGAGGGAAGACACAGCTGGGGTCACATGCTGACCACCACAGCTATGCAGAATGACCATACAGATGGGATCAGACAGGACTTGGGAGAAAGCTGGTGGGACCTTGGCTTGCAGTACCTAGAGAAGGCAGGCACGGGCACAGCAAGCCCATATATACATAGGTATATAGACACACTGCTACACGAACATTCCTTCCTCACCCCCCTTTAAGGTGGAGTCCCATGGAACTTGGAGAAGGTGGTTTTGTGCTGAGGCCTCAGGGTCCTACCAAGAAAGGAACCAGATTCAGACCAAGAAACTGATGGGGGTGTGGCTCAGAAGCCGAGTGGCAAAGAAAGGGCAAAAGGAACGTAAACTGGGGCAGACCTGGAAGGAGAGCTTGCGTGAGAACAACAAAAGGGAAAGAGAGATCATGCGCACAGGAAGATACTCTGCTCTACCAGAAAGACCAGTCAGAAACAGAAAAGCAAAAAGGGGAGAAAAGGGGTTGAGTCAACAGAGTCTAGAGACACAGACCAGGACAGACAGGGAGGGGAGCTTCCTAGCCAGAGGCAAGTGAGACCAGTGGTCCAACTAGCACTTGGTCCCCAGAGACTGGCTCCCTAGGCCTGGGGCCACTGGAGGTCAGACCTAAAGGCTGGGGAGCCCTGAGGGGAGGCCACCCAGGCAGCAAGGCCAGCCCAGAGCCCTCAATCTACTGGAACCACTGGGCAGTCATCTGGCCTTGGAGATGGGGATACCAGGACCTCACCTTCTCCAGGGACTTGAGAACGCTCTGTCTCTCACGCAGCTTCTGGATGCTTAGGGCTATCTTGTGGCGGGCACCTTTGGTGACATTCTGTGGTAGAGGCAGAAGGGGACAGGAAACTGGAAATGGGAGGCTGAGGTACCTTGGGTGCCCCAACAAGAACCAAAGAGACAGAGGAGGGCTGGCTGCGTGCGTAATGTCAAATGTCTGCCCCCAATACCTTCCTGATGTTACCCTTGGCTTTACCTGAGACTCCAGGTGCTGCTCGGTCAGTGTCATCATCTCCTCATAGCTCATTTGTGAGAAGAGGGCTGCATACTTGTGCAAGCGGAGGCTCTTAAGCCATGAGGGCACATCTGTGGAAAAGGAGGAAGGATATGAGATCAGGAGTCTGGCCCTTGTGACCAGGCAGAGGGTTGGTTGTGGGGAGTAACCAGGCATAAACCACAGGCAACCTTAAAAGGTGCAGAAAATTGGGAGAGGTAGGGGGAAGCCAAGGGTCTGTAAGCTACTACTTCTGCCCAGCCAGACCCTTGCAGGTGGCCTTCCTTGATCAGGGTATCCAAATCTGCTCAGCTGGGATGTTTAACAAGATGAGCTCACTGATAGCTCTAAAAGTCATCAGCTACCACTGTGTCCTGGCTTCTAAGACTGGGGTGTCTGAGGGCAGAGTCTTCTCCTGCAATTAAACTGGGACCAGTGGGGGTCTCTTCTCAGTCTTGAGTCCTAAGGCAAGGGCTGTCTACTCCCCTTAGACCTTTCTCCACCTGGGTGGGGGGCTGGGGGACAGGATAGCTGGTAGAGTGGAAGCTACCCTCTCCTTTCTGTCCTCTAAGCTCCACGGAAGCCTCTCTCAGAAGCCCCATGCTGCTGTACCTTTCATGCCACTGCCGTCCTCCTGGAAAGTGTTCCGGCTGGAGCCTTGCTCCTCTGTCTGCTCACTGCCAGAGGAGGCCACACTGCTCTGAGGCGAGAGGGGTGCGTGGTCGGGCGTGGTGAAAGCAGCGCGGGCCCCGAGCTCCTCTGGACTTGGCCACTCACCAGGGGCCTGGGGGCTCGTGGGGATGAGTGACATGGAGCGCTTCAGTGGGCTTGGGTGGATTTGGCAGGGGAGGCCTGGCCAGAGGGGAAGAGAGGCAGGAGGTCAGGTTTGGAGATCTGACCACAGGAGCCCATGCCCCATCAATACCATGGTGGGAGCTCAGCCTCAGAATCCAAAAAGGGGAATGGACCTTGGGGTCTTAAGGGACCTATCAGATACTGTTCTCTCCCTCACCCCCAGCCCCCAATACCCAACCCATAAGCAAGCTGTCAGCTACTTCTTGGAACCTCTCCACTTCCTCTGCTAGCACCCTGGTCTGAGTCACTGGTGTCCCTTGCTGGACATAGCCTCCTACAGTTCACTGACCTCACAAGAAGCCATGTCATTTCTTCTAAAAATGCAAATCTGACCAAGTCAGTACCTTCTTAAATCCCACCTGTGACTTCCCTTCACAGTGAGGATAAAATTCACTCTTCCACACGCCTACAAGGCCCTGCAGGACCTGGGCCTGCTCACCTCTGACCTCTCATTTCCAATATCTCACTATGGGGTGAGGCCTTTCTAGCCTTTGCCTCCTCATCTACCCCCACTTGTTCCTAGAACTCTTAAGCCTATCTAGCCTGAGGACTTCTGCGCTTGCTCTTTCTTCTTGTCCTCCTGATCTTAGCAGTTTGGTTCCCTCAGATCTCATCTCTAGCAAGCATCATCTATTCTGAGGCCTTCCCTGAGTTCTGCCCCCCACCAATCCTGGTTTATCATATTACTCTGGCTTATCTTTCTCACAGTACTTGAAATGATCTTACCTAGTTACCAGTTTACTTGCTTATTAACTATACACCCCTGCTACAAGTGAAGATCTGTGACAGCAGAAACTTGTGCTGTCTTAGACATCATTATATCCTCAGTAGTTACAGTGGGGCTTGGCACAGAGGAGTTGCTTCCCAGTACTTATAAAGTACATGATATACATAAGCTGCTTCTTCAACATCCCTGTCATTGGGTCTTACCACCTCCCAAAGATTTTTTTCTTGTACTAAGCCAAGTGGCTCAGGGTGAATCCAGACCCTTTTTCACAGGGAATTTCACTCTCTCCATCTATCCCACTCCTGAGGTAGGAAGAAGGATCCAACTTAATTTTAACGATTCTCAGAATAGGGAAGGTTCCCACAGGCTTCCAGACCTTTACACGTGCTACTTCCTCTGCCTAGCTCATCGCTCTTCCACCATTACCTGCCATCTACTTCAGATTTTATTCCTTGCTCAAGTGTTTCCTCTTGTGCGACTCTTTCCTCTCTGTTCCCTGGGCTTTGCGCCTCCTTCATTAGCCTGCTTCTTGCAATGGTCTCTGGATGACAGCCCTGCCCAATCATTTCTGTATTCCCAGGCTCAGGAACAAGGCATGATAAATAAGAGCCCTCAGATTTCACAAAAGCCAAAAGGCAGGCACCTATGGTCTTAAGGATGCTAATGGGGCCTCTGAATTTGATACAGGTAACCCCAAGTCAAAGAAAAAGCAAAGAAAACAAAACTAAGAAGCCTCAGCCTGGGTAGGTGAGAACACTGAGGCCCAGGGAACAGAAGCCCTTGTGCTAGTTCCCACATGGAGTTGGGAGGCAGGGACAGAACCACAGCCTTGGTTCTGATAGAAAGGCTGGGATTCCTGCCAGTGCTCTACTGACACCCGGCCCAGGAGAACAACCAGCTTGGTACAGGCCCCAAAGCACCTTCCCTCATTTGTGACAATATCCATGCTCCTAGCCAGGAGGTCACCTGCGGGCAAGGGCAGTGTATCAGCCCACCCCGTTTAGGCCTGCTTCTACTCCTCTGCCCATGACCTCTGGGGTTTTCTGCTCAGGGCTCCTTCCAAGCCTCTGGACTCCCAGAAGATGGCACACTTTGGACACGGGGGGATCTGGGGCTTTTTCTGCCTGTCTCGGTACCTCTGGCCTCCCCCACCCTCCCTTCTCAGCGAAGAAAGGAGGAGGCAAGGCTGAGAAGGCAGGAAATTATCCTGATTGGAATGATCATGCAGTTCCTGAGGAGCCCTGCTTGGCCCTGCATTGGGGTGGAGGCTGGCCACAGCATAAGAACTATAAAAACAGAAATGCCGGTCAGAGATCCAGGGCCTCACTCTCTCCAAGAAACTCTGGTCTGTCACTGGCAGTACCTCAAATCCACCCTGCCTGTCCTTACAGGCCAATCTTTGCTTCCAACTCAAAACAACTTTAATGGCTTCCTGTTGCCCTCAACTGCCTGACATTGCAAAACTTCATCCTATCCTTCAAGGCCCTCAAGAGTGTGGCCCCAACATACTGAGATCTGGAAGTCAAGACAGACCTGAGTTTAAATCCTGGCTCTGCCACTTATTAATTATATCATCCTGGGCAAGTTGCATCATTTGCCCTCTCTGCCTTCATTTCCATGTAAAGCCCTTGGCACAGGAATAGGCACATGGTAACATAATTTCTGCTACTGCTATTATGCATTTAAATCCTTGCACCTCTCTATCCCAGCCGGACCTGTATGCCTTCAATTCACCCTGTGCCCTCTACTGGGAATGCCCAATTCCTTTCTCTCTTCTGGGTCAAACCCCCAATCCAACATTGTTCTAGCTTGGTTCTTTAATATTTAATTGCTGCTGCCCCCATTGAGGAGAGGAAGAGATGTATGGGCACCTGCATAGGTGACCCCCCTGCTTGATGAGGTCACTTTCAGGTGGAGGCAGTGCAGCACAGTAGGCAAGGGTACGGGCTGTGGAGCTAGGCTGCCTGGATTTAAATTCTGGTTACACCACCTTGGGCAAGTGACTTTTCTGTGACTCAGCCAATGAGTTTATATGTATAAAGTTCTCAGAACAGCTCTTGGTAAAGATTAAACACTCAGTATAGAATAGCCATTATTAATATATTCTCCCAACCTGGACCCAGAAACTGTGATGCTTTGAGACTGTAAAACAAGGTCCAATACACCCTGGATTGATAGAGATCCTGGAAATGCCCTCCTACCCTTCCACCTTCCCTGATTCTCACCAGCAACTAGGAGGGAGGCAGGTGACCAGGACATCCATATTTAACTGGGGAAGAAAGAGGCTCAGGGGGTAACTGATGCGTACCAGGTGCCATAGCTGGGCACCAGAAACCCAGGGTTCACTCCACCCAATGGCATGTAAGACATTTCACTGGCACTCTCTCCTGGCCTGCTTTAACCAGTGCCAGCCAGGGGGGACCAATCATGCTGAGGTTAAATCTTGGAAACCTCTGCCTTGAGTAAGGTCATGTCACCTCACCAAGCTTTGGAAATGCCACTCTCCTTTATCCTGTTCATACCAACTAACATTTCAAAAACTCAGAAATACCAGCTCCTCCTGCTCACCCCAGCGTCCAGGGCACTTACTAAGAGAGCCCTTTTGAAACAACTTGGGTGGAGGATGGCCAGTGGTCAGAGGCAGGCTCTGAAATTAGAATTTGTTCTGTGTGGCTCTGAATATATGACTTTATGTCTTGAGTCTCAGTGTCTTCCTCTGTAGAATGGGGGTAATGATATGGTTGTGATGAGGATTAAATAGGATCATGTTTGAAAAGTGCTTATAATACCCAATATCATCAATGCTCACCAAAGTTACCTACTATTACCAATGCCATCAGTTACATCTTATATGAATAGGCTTACACAGACTTCTCAGACATAACACTTTAAACTAAGGTCAGATAAAAAAATCTAGAATATCTGAGGTGGGACTTCAGATTATGGTCATTAACTCAATGCCTTCAGAGGCCAGGCAGGTATTGGACAAGACCAAAGTAGGGTAGTAAGGGTAGAGCCCAACTGGGACACATGTGCTAGGTGGGTGGACAATACTCAACTTCATCTTACTTGCTACTAGGAATACAGGCCTTGAGTTGATTTTTTGACTTTTTAAGAGAAGCTGAAATCTAGATTTTTAGGGCAAGGTTCCTGATTCCTTACATTACCATAAAAACACAAACAAACCCAAAGTTTTACTGGGTTTGGGCTTAATAAAACATGTCTGCAGGTCAGATACAGCTCTGGGAATGCCAGTTCATAACCTCTGCAATGCTTCATAAAGTTGAGGACCAGAGAAATTATGACTTGCTCAGCAACATAGAACAAGTAGAGACAGAGCCAAGTCTGACCCTTTTCAAATAGGCATGGCCTCCTGGGCGCCCACACCACCCTCAACAGCTCACCTGGATTTGCGTTGCTCCCAATACTGTTGATAGCTGGTGGGACTGAGCTGGATGGGTGGAAGGGCACATGTCCATTTTCCCGGGGTGGCTTGTCCTGCCAGCCTGGCCCTGCTTCCCCAGGGCCCAGCTCTGCAGGACCCCCCCACTCATCTGAGCCCTGGCGTGAGTGGTAGGTGGGCTCAGGCCGGGTGCGGAAGCCACTAGCCAGCCGCTCTTCCAGGTGGCTCAGCCAGAGGGCAAGCGCATTGCGGTCTTCCAATGTGGTGGCTGGGTGGATGAGGGCATAGGAGAGCAGTTGACGGCTCTCCTCAATGAAGGCATTGCTCTCAATTGAGTAGGCTAACACTTTCTGCAGCAGCCTCATGTACTCTGACTTGGCCTCTGTGTTGCCTGGCTGAAGCAGGGGCAGGTGGGACAGCAGTAGGGACACCACCTTCTCTTTGGATTCCTGCTGCCACTGGCTGACGATGGCTGCAGAGGGGACAAAAGGAATGTCAGGGGACCTGGGGTGGGGGACTCCTATAAACTCAGGAGAGCTGCATATGGCCTACTCCCTCAGCTTCAGTCTCCTCTCCTTTTTCTTCTCATGACTCTCAACATGCCCTTCATATAGTGAGATCAAACATACTCACTGCTTCCAGAGTAGTTGTTCCTGGTTCTATCACTCCTACTCTCAAAAACCTGCTGTGGCTCCCGATCAGCCAAACCAGCTACTCTGGAATCTGAGCTCCTCCTGCTGTATCCCTACCCTTTATCTTCATGGTCTCTACCTCTTTTTCCCCTATCAAAACAGCCTACTTACTAACTGTGGAAAAAATATAATGTAGTGATTAAAAGCTTGGGTTCTGGAATTAGATGGTCTGGACTTCCCAACTTTACTATCTGGACCTTGGGCAAGTCACCTTAAACCTCATGGACATTTCCTCACCTGGAAAATTTTGGAGATAATTACAGCATCCAATTTGCAGTGTTGCTTTGAGATTCAATGAGCTAATAAAGAAAGGAAAGTGGCCTGGCATATATTAAATATATGCATATATATAAATATATTAAATAAATGCTTGCTATTATCTTTTATCTGGTCTCTGTGCCTCTAGATCTTCTCCTTCAATCAGTCCCATACACCCAGATGGATTTATCTTCCTAAAGTCCACCAGAATGTCATGTACCAGACCAGGAGCTTACAATGGTAATCAGCACAAAGAGACTCAAGTTTAAGAACTCCTAGCCCAACAACACTTTCATTTCCAAGGCACTCCCCACCTCCTACTACAGAATGACTTAGCTCAGGATACCCCCTTCTTTCCTGGGGCCCTCTTCATGTAAGCTTCTACACTGAGATGAGATCCAGGGCTTTAGCCTACCACAGTCTTCTTCCTCCTAACCAAATTCTATGTCTTTTATAGACTGCCTAAACCTACCCTCCCGTGGGAAGTCTCCCCTGCCCACTACATGCCATGGTAATCTGGTGACATGTCCTTCCCATCCCATGGTCTGAGGGCCTAAGGCTGGTGTGTGGAGATGAGCCAGGTTTCTCTCTCTCTCTCTTTTTTAAATCAATATCCACTTATTGAATAAGACATCATTTCTTCTGCTGATATTAAAAGCCATTTTTTTTGGTATCATTAATATATACAATTAAATGAGCAACACTGTGGTTACTAGATTCCCCCCACTATCAAGTCCCCACCACATACCCCATTACAGTCACTGTCCATCACAGGTTTCTCCTCTTGACCCAGAAGGGAGCTCCCCCCCAAGAATAAGGCTCTGGGCTGGTCATGTACAGGAGGCCGAGGGAAGGAACTGTCACAGGTCTGACTATCCTTGAAAACCTTGTTACCACTTCTGTGACTAGGCTTGATGGAGTGGAGGATTGGGGAACAATGTTACAGGGCAAAGGAAAGGGACAAAGAATATCAATGCTTGAGGAAAGAGACAATGATCAGTTCTGTCCTTACTCTTGGGCAACTGAGCTCATACCTGCAGCCAAGGTGACAATTTGCAAACATCTAACAAGTGAGTTCTGAGAGATGATAAGCGATTGTGCTATTGGTGAGGTCCTGAAAGGGGCCAAGGAGACAGTTCTAAGTGGACCCCAGAGAGACTGGTGATGAGAAAGAACTGGCAGATGTCATTTACGGTCCTCCTCCTACCTACTGACCATGTTATTCTTAGCAAATGCGATCAGTTCAATGAGCTCTACTTTATTTGTAAAGTGAGGCTGGGGATTATTTCTATCCAGCATGACTGCTATGAATTGAGACCACCGCATAAAGTAGGGTCACAAAGTAAGTCCTCAGTAAACATCAGCTGCTATTTCTAACATCATGGTAATCATATGTTACTGTGGTTCCTTCTTTAAATACTCACAGATGCTAAAGGCAAAAGTCAACTTCTGGGCCAGTAAACAGAGGCCGAGAATCGGGGGTGGTGTGTGTGTGTGTGTGTGTGTGTGTGTGTGTGTGTGTCCGTCCGAGTGGTGGGGGTGGTGGTGTGTGTGTGGTGTGTGTGTGTGTGTGTGTGTGTGTGTGTGCGCGCTCCCCTAACTCTGACAGTGATAGGGGTGTGTGTGTATTCCTCTAAATATGAGTGATAGGGGTTGTGTGTGTATGTATGTAAGTATGTGTGTGTGCATATATGTATATATATATATTCCTCTAAATCTGACAGTGTCTCAATCTAATTTCCTTAAGAGTCTTAAGGACCTCTGGTCTCCTCTGCCCACATTACAGGCCAGACACCTGGCCCCTGGGAGCCTTGTATAAAAACCTGAGAAATGTCCCTTTCATACCTCTCTTTCTCTTATGACCTATTTGGAAATACACTGACCTACTGCACATTTTCTTGGCCTAGGCCTCTCTGCTCCAAGCTTCCTAGAGACCCCTTACTAAAGTGCTCAGGGATTCATCCATTTATTCTGTCACTAATTCATGCTTGCCATAGTACCAGCCAAGAAAGAACTAACAGTTAATACTACACAAAAATAATAACAGATAGTATTTATTATTGAGCATCTATTATGTACCAGACACTATGCTAATAATATGATCACTTTTCATCCTCACCTCAATACTGTTTCAACATCCCTATCTTGTAGATGAAGAAATAGATTTGGGAAAGTGAAGTCATTTTCCCAAAGTGACAGTGTCAAGATTTGAACACTGGTCTGTCTGCCTCCACAATTGGGAGGAACTTTTACCCATAACCCCCTACTATCTCTCCAATGCTAAGTCTCTTCTTCCCCATCCTTGGCTTTCCAGATCCCCTTCTGTACCTGCCACTTGAGGCTAGGAAACCTCATCCCCTACATCTTCCCTGGACCAGCTCCATGACAGGAAACTGTCTATTAGGTCATCTCTGTATCTAAAGATCTTTCCAAGGTGGGAGGCTTGGACTTCCAGGAACCTGCACCTTTTGCCCTTCCCACCTCCATCTGGTACTGGATCACATGGGAAGGAACCCTGATACTCCTGAGTTTTCAGTTCTTGAGAAGGAAGAAAGACTATAGTGATTTAGATCAGGGACAGAAAGTCAAGGACTTGCAACCCAGCTGGGTCATGCAGTTCCTCCTCTTGAAACTGATTACAGGGCTGAGAGGATTTAGGAGACAATGTATGTAAAGCACCTGATAGGGTCTGCCCATAGAAGCACGCAGTGTGTGTCTCTATGACTGGTGCTTTGCTCCCTTTCCTTCCAGCAGGGTCAGCCTACCCCTTCAGCCCTACCCTGATGCTCTCAATGGCTGTTGTTTAGGCCTTACAGGGTAGCCAGAGGGACAGAGGGAAGCCTTGTCTAGTTCCTCCCCCACCCCAGAATACTGCCAGGACCCCAGAGCTAAGGGACACAGATTCTCCTCTGGTACTGCCAGGGGATGTGACAGAACAGCCCCAAGGGTTGGGCTCAAAGAATGACCTTGTTCTACTGGGGAGAAAGGGGAGAGTGGTTTTGGATGAATGGAGGCTGACCCTGGGGAAATGTGTGTTCATGTGTCTGTGTAGTGGTGTGGTGGGGAGGGCAGGCCTCCCATGACTGGGAAGCATCAGAGAGCACTGGAACTGGTCCAAGGAATCTGTGCAGCCTCAGGCCCCTTGGGGTAAGCCCAGCTGGGGCTGCAGATGATGGGTGGGGATGGAACTTCTAGTTTTCTGCCCAGATCAGAAAAATCTGGCCCAGAGTTGAGGCACAGCAGGGGCCCAGTGAATACCTGCACAATGGGACCCAGATGGTCTCTGGATGTCTATGTGCGGTATCTATGTGTATATAATATACCCTCTTTAGGATTGCCTGACTTCAGGTACCCTGTCTCATGTCCTATCAGAGTATATACTGAGTAAAGTACATGTTCAACAGCAAACTTGCCTGGATTCAAATCTAACTGCCTCCATGACCTTGGTCAAATAGTTGTTGTCTAATCCTTTAACCTCTCTGAGCCTTGGTCTCCTCTTCTGTACAATGGGGGTAGTAAAAGCCCTTATGTCACAGGGTCATTGTAAAGATTCAGTGAGATAATTATGAAAGCACCTGACATCTGTTATGTGCTCCACACATTTTAACTATTATTGTCATTGCTCCTGGTTGAAGATCTAGAGACCATGATGCTGGTGGGCTGGGGGAGCCATTCATGTAGGAGGGTACATCTGGGCCTCCCCCTTAAGATTCCCAACAGGGGTGGGGAATTTCACAGTTGTTTACCAAAGACAGACATGTCTCTGGTTCCTCTGAGCTAGAGGCACAACAAGCAATGATGACATCCTGGAGGTGGGTGGACGGGGGAAGGGGCTGGAGAATGCCAGGATGCCAACGACTGCTTCTCTCCAAGCTGCAAACCTGGACTCTGCAGACATGGAGAGGATGAGAGACTGCACGAGTATCCTCCTTGGTCAGGAGACCAGAGCTAAGTAGGTCATGCATGACCCTGGGTCCTGGCAAATCACAAGAGACAAATGTATCTTTGAGACTGTTGTACTAGCAAACCCATTTTTACATACTGGGCTGTTGCAACAATCATGACAGCCTCAGACACCAGTCAGAGGGGCTGGAGTTTGGCTCCAAACATGCCCTTTCTACCTCACCCCAGCTCACATCAACATGGGGGAGGGGTGGGGAGTGCACACACACATTTTTGTTTGATGAACTGTGTCAGTAAAGCTTCAAAAGGGAGGGTGGAATGTATGTGCACAATTTAATTAGTAGTTTAAAACCTATACATGCTTATGTTACTCTACAAGAAGATATGTCAAAGAAATAATCAATCTTCACATGTTTTCTTCCGTCTGCTACTTCTATAGCTTTTCTTCTTCCTTCCTAATTA